TATATAGCAGTCTGCATTATATTCCTGCCCAGCAAATATAGAGTACAGAGTGAAACTAATAAATGTTTATGAATTTTAATAATGGGAGATACTCATCATGTACCAAGATATGGTATTGTAACCAATTAACAGTGAAAATAATGAGATGGAATTAACATATTTTAAGTGTCATCCAAAACAAGGTGCTGGAAGCCTCTTCTAAGATGGTGTAATATTTGGAGATATATACTTACTAATATTAGACATACCAAGTCTCTATAATTAATAGTTACGAATATATAAAAATAACCATTGGTCAAAAGTCTGATTAGATTACTGTAGTATATTTTGACACAAAATGCGACTCCAAATGATCAGTGGTTTCTAAGATACAAGTGCCCTGGACAAGATCAGTATAATTACTGAACAATACATTGTGATGTGGGTCGAAGATCATTAATTGCATTTATTGTATTTATTTAGGTTTGATAAAATTAAACATCCATAGTCATTAATGCCTTGAAATGTTTACTTCAATTTTTGAGAAATGGTCTAATAAAATATAAACAGCCATTGTGTACGAGGATATGCAAAATGTCTTTAAAATGTGTCAAAAGTCGAAGGACAAGAATGTTTCGGACACATTGATTCCAAAACAACTCTACACAATTATAAATTAAGGACTCTATGGCAATGACTTTTGATCCTCGCCTTTTCACATTTTGCCAGATTTTCAAATTATGTTACGAAAGATTTGGCCAACCATACAAAACCTAACTGGGGTAAATATTTATTGTGTAATATAATATAGAATAAATACATTTTTTGGAGTATTTTATTATAAACAATAAGCATTATTGTGTGTGTCAATTTAATTAAATAATCATGCATTCATATTCAGTATTGTATAATACATTAGCACAACATTAGAGGTATGATGCGCTCTACAAATCCAACTATTATTATTATTAGTAGTAGTAGTAAATTATATATTAATCCACGTTTTTGATTAAATCAAAAACGTGGATTATTATATAATTGGATTAGGTCTCTATAATTTAAATTCTTAAAGAATGTATATATTAAATTAAAAATACTGAAAAAGCAATATAACCGATTTATCACCACAGGGCCTACAACTCATAGGCCGATATTGCTTAGCTTAGACCTAGTATGTCGTAATAAATTCTATTGGGTTATTACGTTAGTGTTCATCTGCGGCTATGGAGTTTCATACTTTTGGCATTACAAACCCACAGCCGACTGAATATCAGCACCCACTGTGACTACTACTGCTTGGGATTTTTTTTGTTAACTTTTTATTAAATCTTGGAATTTTTGGAATGAAATGGAATTTTGTTTCTTCGTGAAGACAATTTAAAAATGAACAAATACTACTAACAACTTAGGCCTGGCAGTTGTGAATAAGCGCGGCCGTTCCATTGTTTGAGATAAATTGAAAGCTTAGTTTTTTTTTTTCTTTTTTAATTCTTCTGATTTTTGTTTAGTGCCATCTTCATCCTTATTGCAAAATAGAGTAAATTTTAAGTTAAACCTCTTCTTGTGTCCCATTGGCGGATATGCTGTATGGTTCAAACAATGACGTATACCTGTGAAAAAGTAGAGCAAGAACATTGCAGCTAGATGCCAGAAAATCTCATACTTTGCAAATGCTTTTTAAACATTGTGTCTTAAATTGACAGTTGTCCCATCAAATTCATCATAAAGTTACCATCTTAAACCTTCCGAAAATAGAAATTAAAAATCAACTCTATTTTTTCTATAAAAGAATAATAATACGACGATTGTCTTGTCATTTCTTATTTATGATTTTAGTTAATATAAGACATATGTATATATCGCCAATATTTTGCGAATATTGGGATTTTTAAAGCTATCTTAAGATTTTTTAAACACAACCTTGGAAATTTTCATTTTTCCCAGTGGTCATACTGTCAGCTCCACCCAGGAATTTTTTTGGACTGGTCCCCTCGACCCCTTCCAAAGGGTTCTGGGCTGAACCCCTATTCTCCTGTGGTATTTGCGTTGCGAAATAATAACAGAAAATCTCTGTCTGCCGCTCTCTATTCTGAATTTGCTATCAAAACAAGGAAGTGTAACCGCTTATTGATGATTGGCTGAAGAATAAGTAATCACTACAGTAGCTGAAAATCGTTGTATATCCTTATTAATAGGTCCATACATTATCAGCCTTCGTTTTCGTAAATAATGTAGACTAGTATACGATTTCTGCTTTGACAAAAAACTTACGTGAGCGAAAGCATGTCAATATTTAGAAGCCGAAACTGGAACAGTATGTATATTACATATTTATTGTATAGGAGTGTCTAAAGAGGTTTTAGATAGGTTATTAAAAAGTGCTATGAGCACTGTAAGTATCAACTAGAGGAGGCCTGGACATATAGTACCATAATAGACAGTGATATACACCCTCACATAGTCGGGTTATATCAGCAGTTTATAGTATTAATTAGGCCTGTTATGTAGCTTAGCTAAACATACATAAATACACACACACACACACACACACACACATTCATTCTCACACTCGCCTTTCTTTCATCGACATTAAATCAATATTACATTGAGTCAGTCTAGCATATTTAATGAATTGCCTTGATGAAGCTGAGCTTTATTCGTAGCTGTAAATATAACCATTGTAAATTACACAAAAGCCTGCCAAATACTGTATAGAGAAATATTTGTACCAACGATTTAATAACGCCGTATCTTCTGGCACATATAGGCCTAATATTGCTGACTCATAAATTAGTAGGAAATATAGAACGGTGAATAGGTTTTATATATATAAGCCTGCAATATCTAAAGGAAACCTTGGCGCTACCTGTTAAGAGTGCCGTGTCTAGGGGATGCGCAGGGGGAGCATGACCCTCCATAATAATCACCCCACCCCCATCCTTCGGCGCCGCACACCCCAAGTTACGGATACATTTTTGTTAATTTGCACAAGTGAGAGTGATATTTCTGGTATTGGTAAATATTTCAATATTGTTTTTACATTATTATTTTGTCCATACTGCAATCGCTACCTAATCCTACTTTTCAGTCCATACGGTAATCGATAATTCACTGATTAAAATTCTTTCAAGTTTGTTTATGTATACTGGTAGTATTCGTCTAATTTATCAGCAGTGGTTTTGTTATCATTTTCGATCAATGCTGTCTTACATATTTTGAGTTGATTTACATTTATTTCTTGTCAGCAGTCTTGATCATCAAGAGATTATGGTTAATCAATGATAGAAAGCAAATTATTAATAATTCTGATGAACTAAGGAAATATTTAAAAATGTCAATTCATTATTTAAAAGTATCAACTAACTTGATATATGAAACACAAATCAATATATAATTTTCCACAGATCTATTGAACTTTTACTATATAATTATTATAAAATTACAGGCAACTAAAGGTAGTTGATAAAAGGTAATTGATAAAGAATATAGTTATGTTATTATATACATATTTGTTACTTTATAGATGTGGTTTGGCGCAGTAGCAACGGCTGCTTTCCCTACCTCGAGGTCAGGGTTCAATCCCCTCGCTGTGCATTTCGCTTGTTTCCTTGGGCAATGCACTTTATCTGCATCGCTTCTCTGCACCCATGAGTATAAATGGGTACTTGGTAGGGTTAAATGCCAAAATGCGCTGATGCAGCTACTGCAAATTTATTGAATACTCTCCCAGGGATCTTTAGTTTGTGTTATTAGGATGTTACAATATCATTATTATTATTATTTTTATTATTGCTAATGTTGTTATTGTTGTTGTTATTTATTATTATTATTATTATTATTATTATTATTATTATTATTATTATTAATATTATTGCTGCTGCTGCGTTTTCAATCGTTTCCATTTTAAATGACAGTTATGCGTTTGTCTCTTCCACTCAATAAAATAAAATGATACTTTGTCCGGGAGAATTATAGTCACTCGTACATCGTTCGTCTCTCTTCGCCATACTAGTAATAATAAGTCATATTTTTTATTGTTTGTTATTAATTGATGATTGATGTTTTGATTAATTTTGAAAGAACAAACGAACAATGTAAGAGTGACTCAGTTCTCCCTGGACAAAGTATAAAATATATTTTTATATTATTGAGTGGAAGAAACAAACACGTAACTCAATGTTTACCAAAAATAACCTTAGCACACTCATATAAAGCTGTGCAAAACTTTGGTCGGTGAGCACCGGGGTTTCGAATCCAATTGGTTGCTTAAGGCTTAAAGTATTTTGATAAATAATAATAAAACTCAGAACCGTTCCAGCTAACCATTGAAAGCGAGCTGGTATAACAATATGATGCTCCACTGACACATTGTGTCTTACCAGGATTTGGACCCAGGATCCTGAGAAGGCAGTCGCTTTAACCTACAGCATCACTACTTGAATTGCATTAGAACGCCTATTAAGTGGATACTCCCGGGATCCCAAAACGTGTCCCCTAATATGGTGTCCCTTGAATAGGGTACCCTATTCGGTGGACACTTACTAAACATTTGAAATTGTCCCCTTAATGGGGGTTTTTGGCATGATTTCGTACAATGATGACATAGTTACGATAATGACATAGCCTCTTTGTAATTATATTTTAATTGGTCTAATGAGTTAGATTTGAGTTAAATTATAACAATAATGTGCAATGTGACTGGTGTGCTGTGACATAGCTACATGCAGTAGTCATATTATTATGACGTCAAGTATTTGGCATTCATGATTGGTTAATTAACATAGCATTTAAAGATTATTTTTAGGTGATTAGTTAGTTGACTGATAACTTCATGGGTTCAACTTTCTGAAAACCTTGATTGAGGTGATTTCTTAACGTGCATTCTATTTTATTAAAATAAAAAAGATGCAGTTTTTTAGCCGCCTGTAAGTTATTGATCCTGTTTATATGATGTACGGGAACCTAGAATTATGCAACAAAGGAAAGGATCATATTTCGAAAGCATGCAACTACTTCACGGTTGATAATTTTTTTTATTATAAATAAATAAATAAATAAAAGCTGATATTTATATAACCAAATAATTTTTTCTATGGTGCTTCCATCCAAAAAATTCATTCCATATTATATGCCTGGTTGCGTAGATATCATTATGTGTTCATGGTTGATAGCAGGGTGTTAAAATAACAGGACTTGAGATAATGACGTCACCATTCTTCTACTCCAGTTTTCATTTTTTTTTTTTTTTTTTATTCAACGTTTTTCATAACATGAGTTATCTTCAGTTTGGAGAAGAGAGAATTAGTAAGAAGCCAAAATTAAGAAATAGTGGTAGCGATTGATGCGCATTTGCGATTTGCGACTTCCTAGTCCTGTTGTATTTTTAGTACCCTATCATTCGTTTAGATTTTAAATGAAATTATATGCGTTTGTCTCTTCTACTCTCAATAATATAAAAGTATATTACATACTTTTTCCGGGGATGATTAGAGTCACTCTTACATCGTTCGTCTCTCTTTGCCTTATCAGTAATATTTAGTCATATGTTATACCGGTACTGTTTGTTAATAATTGAAGTTACGTTTTGTTACGGTAGTGTTACATCACACACAGCTCGGACTTTTTTACAAAATAGGCATAGGCCTATCGTATTGTAACAACACACAAGCTGACCAATGGTAGTTCAGCTCTCAAACAAATGTCGAGGGTTCGATGCCTCTATAGTTTTAGTAGTATTTGTCGGAGTATGTTTCTTTACTAATGAGTAGCAATCATTTGTATGCTTACAGGTAAATGCTGTATATTGAATACTGTATTCTCTTTATGCTAAATGTGGTAGCTATTCAACGGAGAAGTAAACCTTTTTGTGACACGGAAGGAATAATGTTGCTGTAATTGTTATTATTACAGTCATGTGTGTGTATCTTTAGAATAACCCGTCATTTCAATAATTCTATTAATCTAAACTTGAGTTTGTCAGGATTCGGACAATTTTAAGTCATCAAGTGGACCTAGGATATTTCCACATGATCTAATGAATTAATCTTTTCAGTCATTTTATAGTCTCAAGTCGGTACCGGTCGACTTAGTGATCAACTAGAAATTTTCGTAAAAATGTGCTTCGATAAAATAAACAAGGCCATTAATAGAAACGACTGTCTTATTCACGCTTTTCCTGATAATCTTTTATTTACATGTGCAAAAAATATGGCCTAAATTATAGCATAACAAGCAAAACCTGCGATATATAATAAAGAATTAATTTGTGGTAATTATCTTATTAGAAATTTTTCGTGAAAGAAAGAACATTGATTTTCAAGATTTACCAGAAATTGTAGAAAATATCATTTGGCACCTCGATGGTAGAAGTGTTTTGAGAGCAAAACAGGTTAGTGATGCCATAAATACTGAAAGTGATAATGTCAATAAATACAGTAAGTGATGACCTAATAAATACTAGAAGTGATGATTTCACAAAGTTGTTTTAATTTGTAATTTTTTAAAGTGGAAAACATTCAATATAATAATATACTATATTTTCTATGGGTCTGATTAATCAATATATCTAAAAAGAGACTTTTTTATACAACATTTTAAAAATATGTACTAAGGTATGAGATTCAGACAATAATTGGTATAAACTTGATTGTGCCCACCCTTCTCATCTAGGCTTGTGGGTCAAAAAACAATGTAAAAATTACTTCTCTAAATGACTTCATGAGTTAATATATTTTTCAATAATGCAACTGGATAGACATTCCTTTTATTTGAAGAAAAAATACGCTTTGCCTTTTACAGGTATCTCATAGTTGGAATGAAATAATTGAACACCTTGAGCAATATTATCAGTTATGGCGACATTTATGTTTACGCGACATCCACAGGGCCTCTCTGATAGACATCATAGGCTTCAACCCTATAATTATTATAAAATTACAGGCAACTAAAGGTAGTTGATAAAAGGTAATTGATAAAGAATATAGTTATGTTATTATATACATATTTGTTACTTTATAGATGTGGTTTGGCGCAGTAGCAACGGCTGCTTTCCCTACCTCGAGGTCAGGGTTCAATCCCCTCGCTGTGCATTTCACTTGTTTCATTGGGCAATGCACTTTATCTCCATCGCTTCTCTGCTGCACCCAGGAGTATAAATGGGTACTTGGTAGGGTTAAATGCCAAAATGCGCTGATGCAGCTACTGCAAATTTATGGAATACTCTCCCAGGGAGCTTGAGTTTGTGTTATTAGGATGTTCCAATATCATTATTATTATTATTATTTTTATTATTGCTAATGTTGTTATTGTTGTTGTTGTTTATTATTATTATTATTATTATTATTATTATTAATAATAATAATATTATTGCTGCTGCTGCGTTTTCAATCGTTTCCATTTTAAATGACAGTTATGCGTTTGTCTCTTCCACTCAATAAAATAAAATGTACTTTGTCCGGGGAGAATTATAGTCACTCGTACATCGTTCGTCTCTCTTCGCCATACTAGTAATAATAAGTCATATTTTTTATTATTTGTTATTAATTGATGATTGACGTTTTGATTAATTTTGAAAGAACAAACGAACAATGTAAGAGTGACTCAGTTCTCCCTGGACAAAGTATAAAATATATTTTTATATTATTGAGTGAAAGAAACAAACGCGCAACTCAATGTTTACCAAAAATAACCTTTGCACACTCATATAAAGCTGTGCAAAACTTTGGTCGGTGAGCACCGGGGTTTCGAAGCCAATTGGTTGCTTAAGGCTTAAAGTATTTTGATAAATAATAATAAAATTCAGAACCGTTCCAGCTAACCATTGAAAGCGAGCTGGTATAACAATATGATGCTCCACTGACACATGTCTTACCAGGATTTGGACCCAGGATCCTGAGAAGGCAGTCACCTTAACCACGACCTACAACATCACTACTAATATTGAATACACGATATAAAATACATTTGCAATATACTGTATTAACATCACAGACACCTATTTGACACGATAGGCGTATGGTACTGTAGTATTGTGATATCACACACAGATCGGATTTGAAAAAAAAAAAAAAAAAAAAAAAACACACACAAAAAAAAACAGACCGTAGTGTACCATCATACAAGCTGACGAATGGTAGCCCAGCCTCTCAAACTTATTTCGAGGGTTCGATGCCACTGTCAGTAGTATTTATCTGAGTCTGTCTCTTTAATAAATCGTATGTTTAGAGAGGAATGTGAAATGCTGAATATATATTTGCTTTGTGTTGACTACGGTAGCTATCCAACAGAGAAGGAAACCACTTTGTGACACGGAAGAAATGATGTTGCTGTAATTGTTATTATATTAGAACGCCTATTAAGTGGAAGTGGAACGTGTCCCCTTAATATGGTGTCCCTTGAATAGAGGTACCATATTCGGGGGACACTTACTAAACATTTGAAATTGTCCCCTTAATTGGAGTTTAGCATGGTTTCGTACAATGATGGCGTAATTACAATAATGACATAGACTCTTTGTAAATATATTTTGATTGGCCTAAAAATGAATTAGAGTTGAGTTATTAATAAATTATAACAATAATGTACAATATAGCTACATACAGTAGGCATATTATTATGTCGTCAGGCATTTGGAATCCACGTTAACTAACATAGCATTTAAAGAATTTTTAGGTGATTTGTGAGTTATGACTGATAACTTCATGGGTTCAACTTTCTGAAAACCTCGATTGAGGTGATTTCTTAACGTGCATTCTATTCTATTAAATTAAAAAAGATGCAGTTTTTAGCCGCCTGTAAATTATTTATCCTGTTTATATGATGTACGGGAACCTAGAATTATGCAACAAAGGAAAGGATCTTATTTCGAAAGCATGCAACTACTTCACGGTTGATAATTTTTTTATTATAAATAAATAAATAAAAGCTGATATTTATATAACCAAATAATTTTTTCTATGGTGCTTCCATCCAAAAAATTCATTCCATATTATATGCCTGGTTGCGTAGATATCATTATGTGTTCATGGTTGATAGCCTGTCTCTTATACACATCTAGATGTGTATAAGAGACAGATGTATACTTTTTCCGGGGATGATTAGAGTCACTCTTACATAGTCACTCTTACATTGCCTTATCAGTAATATTTAGTCATATGTTATACCGGTACTGTTTGTTAATAATTGAAGTTACGTTTTGTTACGGTAGTGTTACATCACACACAGCTCGGACTTTTTTACAAAAATAGGCATAGGCCTATCGTATTGTACCAACACACAAGCTGACCAATGGTAGTTCAGCTCTCAAAAAAATGTCGAGGGTTCGATGCCTCTATAGTTTTAGTAGTATTTGTCGGAGTATGTTTCTTTACTAATGAGTAGCAATCATTTGTATGCTTACAGGTAAATGCTGTATATTGAATACCGTATTCTCTTTATGCTAAATGTGGTAGCTATTCAACGGAGAAGTAAACCTTTTTGTGACACGGAAGGAATAATGTTGCTGTAATTGTTATTATTACAGTCATGTGTGTGTATCTTTAAAATAACACGTCATTTCAATAATTCTATTAATCTAAACTTGAGTTTGTCAGGACTCGGATTTTAAGTCATCAAATAGACCTAAGATATTTTCACATGAATTAATCTTTTCAGTCATTTTATAGTCTCAAGTCGGTACCGGTCGACTTAGTGATCAACTAGAAATTTTCGTAAAAATGTGCTTCGATAAAATAAACAAGGCCTTTAATAGAAACGACTGTCTTGTTCACGCTTTTCCTGATAATCTTTTATTTACATGTGCAAAAAATATGGCCTAAATTATAGCATAACAAGCAAAACCTGCGATATATAATAAAGAATTAATTTGTGGTAATTATCTTATTAGACATTTTTCGTGCAAGAAAAAACATTGATTTTCAAGATTTACCAGAAATTGTAGAAAATATCATTTGGCACCTCGATGGTAGAAGTGTTTTGAGAGCAAAACAGGTTAGTGATGCCATAAATACTGAAAGTGATAATGTCAATAAATACAGTAAGTGATGACCTAATAAATACTAGAAGTGATGATTTCACAAAGTTGTTTTAATTTGTAATTTTCTAAAGTGGAAAACATTCAATATAATAATATACTATATTTTCTATGGGTCTGATTAATCAATATATCTAAAAAGAGACTTTTTTATACAACATTTTAAAAATATGTACTAAGGTATGAGATTCAGACAATAATTGGTATAAACTTGATTGTGCCCACCCTTCTCATCTAGGCTTGTGGGTCAAAAAACAATGAAAAATTACTTCTCTAAATGACTTCATGAGTTAATATATTTTTCAATAATGTAACTGGATAGACATTCCTTTTATTTGAAGAAAAAATACACTTTGCCTTTTACAGGTATCTCATAGTTGGAAAGAAATAATTGAACACCTTGAGCAATATTATCAGTTATGGCGACATTTATGTTTACGCGACATCCACAGGGCCTCTCTGATAGACATCATAGGCTTCAACCCGTTGTCGGATGATTATCAGGAAAAGGATTATGTTGATGATGATGGAGAGTTTGAGGATTTGTGGAAGAATGTCTACAGGACCTGGAAAACAAGCCAAACTTTAAGTCCTCATAAACAGATATCTTACCAGCTTACTGGCGTCGAGTTTCCCCGTTTAATGATATCAGTTGTAAAATTTGGTGAGTATAATTCCAGCCAGTGGCGGCGTCAAAGTAGAGGAGCTCAATTTTTCCGCTGCGCATGCTTTATGCACCACTGCTTTTAGTAGGGCCTACCATTTAACCTCACTTCTATGGACTACGGATCAAATCATAACAGTTCTTATAGAAGACAAAAACGTAAGTTGCTCAAGAAATGTGATAATTGGAAATTGGTCAATTAGGCCTAATTTGTTCATTATGACATGAATTAATCAATTAGAAGTTTGGAAAGTCGTTTTTATACATTATACAAATCCTGGGCTCTTTTTGAGAAAATACATTATTTCATAAATATAAGCCGACCGGAGATTTTCAAGATAATGGGTCGGCCAGACTTAGGAAACAACACAAACTAACTTTTGGAACCGGCAGCTTAGACTTGTTTATACTACATTCCTTTTGTTGTTTTTGTTATAAACTTTAACCTCACTTCTATGGACTACGGATCAAATCATAAAAGTTCTTATAAAAGGCAAAAACGTAAGTGGCTGAAGAAATGTGATAATTGGAAATTGGTCAATTAGGCCTAATTTGTTCATTATGACATTAATTAATCAATTAGAAGTTTGGAAATTCGTTTTTATACAAATCCTGGGCTCTTTTTGGGAAAATAAATTATTTCATAAATATACGCCAACCAGAGATTTTCAAGATTATGGGTCGGTCAGCCTAGGAAACAACACAAACTAACATTTTGAACAGCTTAGACTTGTCTATACTACTACATTCCTTTTGTTGTTTTTGTTATAAACTATTCTCGACAAACCATAAAATTATTAACATTATCTAATAAGCTTTTACCGGCATCATAATATTGAAAATGTTTTTGTTTTTTTGTTTTTTTTAGGAACGTATGTGTATACTTTAAAACGTGACCTGTTATCTGTATGGAATATCGATACCGGTCACCGAGTTGTATATTCCCAAAAACTGAAAGGCATAGAATATCCCCCATCGCCGATGTATTCATACTTGCAGAGTAAGGCAATACAATGATTTTAATTGGAAATTTACTATTCAAAAGCCGCTCTTTTTTCATTATCATATCATCATTCACCAGAGCCATTAACAATTTTGAGAAGTCAATGGTCTAAGGCGATTCACAGTAATGATAGA